ATCTTAAAAACAAGATTAAAATATATAAGATCTGCAATATGCTGTATGATATAGTATAAAAAGTAACTAGACAACAAATTGCTTTATAATATTTTCTCGATAGTAAATAATAATATATAAGATACGTACTAGGTATATATACAATATATAAATATATAGTAAACTTATTAAGTCAGTCTAACTAAAAATAAATAGTGATAGAAATCAAGATGTATCCTCGAATATATATGTAGTCTAATACTGTAATATAAAATAACCTGAAAATAAAAAACATAATAGAATAAATAACTGGAAACAAAAAACTTGTTTTATAATATTTTCTTGATAGTAAGTAATATATGCTATTAATATTGATATACAGTTTTACTTTGACTTAAAGAATTCATGTGATGCAAGTTATTGAATTGTTATTTTTACTAATTCGCTAATGATTCCTGTATAAATAAATATCACATATAAAAAAAAGGTACAAGTTTAATAATAATATATAAGATTTTTACTAGTATGCTATTGATATTATATAAATATATAACTTATCAAGTCAGCCTTGCAATTTTATTTTCAAAATTTAGCCTTCTAACTTGTAAAAATAGATGAATCTTTGAACATAAATGAGCTTAAAAAACTTGCTCAACATTTGACCATGGTTTACATAAATTGTTGCATTTTTTGCTTTTCGACTATTTCTGAAATTCAAGCAAGTTTTTACTTAACTAATGTACTTATAGTAAGTCTTTGATTATGGGTACTTTAAAATATAAAATTATGTTATATTTATTGTTATTTTAATTTATCACATTGTTTTAATTGCTTAGACTTACTTACCACTGTTTTTAAGTCTTTTTTGGTTCATAAGCATCATTATTATTATCAAGACATTTAATAACAAATTGTGATTCTGTTTAGTGATTGTATAGGTTTGTTTGATTTCTTGTTATTTAATTTGTTATCATACATCTCTATTTATTCTTTCTTTTTAGGCATTAGCCTTTTTGCTAGAACTCTCAATTGGGTTTAGATTCAAAATCATCTTCTTGATCCCCAAATTGTAATTTCTTTTTTAATTATTTTTTTCTTTGATTACCATCACAAAATAATTGATAAAAATTTTTGACTATTTACAGAAACTATAATGTGACTAATTTCTGCAAATTGAACTTTCTAATTTTTATCTTTTTCATAGTATTGCTTTTATTCGGCAATACAATTATTACAGAAATTGAACTTATTGAAAGATTCATAATTTCTATGTATGTTTGGTATTTATTCATTAACTTTGGATAGCTTAATTGTTTGAATTACATTAGATTCAGTTTGAATTATTAGTTTGGATAGTTTTGTGCATTAGATATATATAATGCATTTCTTATATATTTCTCATCATAACTTAATATATTAATTATTTTTTCATTATGCAGCCCTATTTAGAATTGAATTTAATATCCTTCATCATTATAATCATATACTTTTTTTTGGCATTATTTGTGCTTTTTTAAATTACATTATATTTGCTTGGTTTTTTAATTCAAATTTATTGAATAGCTTTGCTTATTTGGTATATATAATCCATTCCTCAAAATTTTTTAATTCAAATACAGTGTTAATTATTTTATATTTCTGTATTTACAGTCTTATTAGAAGTTGAAAATTATACTTATCATTTGGCAAAATTGGGATCTTATGATATTATAAACTATTCATTTTTTTGTTTACTTTTTTTGCCTTATTTTATCTTATTTTATTTGAATTAATTAATTCAAAAATTAAAATATGGTTGACACAATAATAAATGATAAGTGACCTGGTAGTTGTTTTCAGCTCAAACTAAGTTTAATTTGAATCAAAATTCATTAAACAATAAGTAAATTGTAACTTCTTGCTCGGCATTAAATTTTATTTTAATAAATTTTCTATACTTCATTTTTTAATAGTACTTATGACTGTAAAACACTTGTACTATTAGGTTGAAATGACTCTATAGTTGTTAGATAAGACCAGTGTATGAAATTCGAATTTAATTTTATGTTTTCACAAGAACATCTATATAATAAATTTGAAACTTTTTTATGTATTCATATAAGTGTAACCTGAAATTTTCATGTTCTCAGAGAACATTGAGAACATTGAATTTTACACACTGGATGAGACCATGTGATGATAATTACCTGTCATAAAATACCAAAACCTAAAAATTTAATTTAATTTTTATTAAGTTTTGATAAATAACATTTAGCATCACATGGTTTCATCTAACAACTATATAAATGATAATATAAAATTATTTCATTTATGGCCAGATCACGAGACTTTGTATTTCATTCTAATAAGAATAATATAATTTAAAATTAACCAGTTTATTGTTGATTTAACAGTTCTAATTTGTTTAAACAAGTTATAATTAACTTAATAATGAGTATTTGAGCATATGTTCTTTAACCAGTTAGATTTTTATATCTATTTATATTGGTGTGATATCTTAATAAAAAAAATATTTTGTTTTGCTAATATGTCAAAATTAAAAGCCAAATCTTTTAAAACTTACTTTTTATTCAAAAATAATAGAAATAATAAGAATGATGAGAAATATTCTTATCATGAATATGTAGTTTATCATTTGTATCATGGAAATTTTACTCATAATTATACAAATAATGATAAAAATAATTTTGTAGCTGCTTATAATGAACTTAAACAAAAATATTTAGAAAGCAATATTAAGCCAAGATTAACAAAAGTAGGTTATTATTAAAGAACTGAAATTGTACTGTATGTTTATTAACCAGCTTCTTTTTTTATAGGTCGATAAAGATTTAACAAAAGTTTATTATGATTTAATAAAAAAAGATTATACAAAAAGTTATATATTGACTTTATTGCTAATTGAAATTATTAGAAATTTTGGCTGGATAGAATTTGATTCTTCAGAAAATGCTAAAAAGATTTTAGCAATTCAGAATATTAAAAATGTAAGTTATATCTTTTATTTATTTATTCTTAGCATAATGAATTTACTTAAAATAATAATTTCATTAGTGGTCTATAAATAAAAATAAATTGTTATTGACCATTAGAAATTATATATCTGCTGCACCGAAGAATGAGTTATCTGTTAATGATCCATTATATTCAGATATAATAGATCCTGAAAATATTATAAGCTTAAAACCCAGTTTGTTAAAAAATCTCAAAAATCTTGAAGATAGAAACAAATAAATATAACAGATTTACCAGTTAAAGAAATAACATTTAGTCAACAAGAAATTAAACTTTGGTTAGATGAAAGAAAAAATGAAGAAATAAGAAATGGCAAATAATTAGTTCATGATATCAAGAGAATATAGGCAAATCATTATTATCAAGAAAGATCGAGCCTAATACATGAATCAACTTTTACTCATGATGTTCTGTCTTCTATTATTAATTTTATTTCTTCAAAAATTTTTAAATGCTGGGATCAAGCTTAAAGTTTTTCAGCCAAAGATCGTAGAGTTCAAAAAGTTGGTAATATTATTGGATACATTACTGGTAGTAATAAAAGTTTGTATGAGATTTTTTTTGTAGAAGTGTCATATGAGCCATTTCATAAGGATCTGGAACCCTACATAGATGAAGATAAAATAAAATTAGGTAAATTAGATAAAGATTCAATTGACCGTATTAGTAGATTATTAAATACAGATGATGTACCAATTATTTTAGTTCATTTCTTTCAAGACAAAATTTTTTTTTATCTTATGAATAAAAATATTTCATCAGCATATAGGAAAATATTATTAGGACATACTCGAATTCCATTTTTTAGATGTTCTTGTAGCATCTTTTTTAATTTCTTTTTGGTATTATGGAAAATTAGAATATATTTATCTCATATATCTTATTCTTTAAACAATAATGTAATTACTTCTAATAATTAGTTAAATTTGAGTATAAAAACATTTTCATCCTCTTTCAAATCTTCTGAAAGCCAAAATTATAGATCTAATCAAAAGAGTAAATAATAAAAACAAATATGTTTACATGGCTTTTCTTTAAATTAATAAATTTAAATAAAATTTTATTCAGAGTTTTCAAATCAAAATAATTCACAAAGACATGTTCATTGACCTTATATGAGAATTAAACAAATCTGCCCCAAGCTTGAAGTTATTCAGAAGTGCACCTTCTCAAGGATACTGAGTCTCTTTGCTTTAAATTATTTTAACTTGTAAAAATTTTAAATTAAGTTTAATATCTGCTATTTTCAAATCAAAATAGTTCACAAAGATATGACCTATTGACCTTATGTGAGAATTAAACAAATCTGTCTCAAGTTTGAAGTTATTCAGAAGTGTGCATTCTTAAGGATACTGAGTCTCCTTGCTTTGAAATATTTTTATTTGATATAATCATACTTAAGTAAAAAAAATTTCATCATATTAAAAGCTAAATGATAATTTAATAAAACTAACAATATCTTATTAGCTTAATTCTATTTTTTGGATCATTATTATACTTCATGTGACATATCTCAGTCAATTTTTACTTATATCATGTGTAATTCTGTAAAAATAAAAATTTATTAAAATTCTAGAATTCATACAATTTAAAAAAAAATTCTTACCAAATTTGGTTGTTGAGATATCTTCACTCAAAGTTTTTAATTTAAAAATTCAAAGTGGTCGATAAATGTGATTCAGATATTATATGTGCAGATTAACCCACCCTCTAAATCTGAATACATATTATACCATGAATTTATACAACATACCAAATTTATCTTCTTACCAAAATTCAGATAAGTTTTACTTTCTATATTTTAAAATTATTGGATTTTGAATGTAGAAAAATAACAACAAAAACATGCAAAATGTAGATCATCTAAAATTTTATAGTTGATAGGAGGATATCTGATTGGTCAATTTTATAATTCTGGGTCGATTTATGTTGATCTGCATTCTAGAACATTTTGATCAGCTAATCAAGATTTTATTTCTAATTTTTGACCATTTTTTT